AGACGAGTAAAAAAGGAGAAAGCAAAAGTTACTAATTTACTTAAAGTGATAAACAAGCATATCATAGAGGATAACATGAATTATTAAAGCAGTTGTATTTTGTAAACAATGTGACTAAAGTTATTGTCATTTAGCCTCATCAACTCATAAACAGCTGGTAGCTGTTTAAAGCAAATTTAGAAACTTAGTCTTGCGTAAAATAAGGGAGGTGTTAGCATTGAAATCGCACACGTGTACAATACGTAGCTAGAACAAAGACGTACACAGGGAGGTTGGGAAATCCAACCCTTTGGTTAGCCGGTGGATGGAAACCGCATGGCCGTTCATAAGCGACATTCGAAGGCTTTTCTAATTCCTTCCGCGTTCCATGTGATTGTTTCAAGGGGATCTCCTCAGAAATTTCACTGCTAGGTTCAGTGATATCAGGATCTTTGACTTGCATTGAATCCCGAGTGTTCTTCTAATTAATAATAAACAGGAAGGAATAGCGGTTCGAAAGTAATTATTAATTGGCTTAGAGTAAATAAAACCGAAGCACTTGTGCTGCGTGTTACCTTTTGTTGGTCAACAGAGTTGGGAAAAGTGAGTTCCTTTGAGGTCTGGTCGAATGTGGGCACCTGCAGAGTTGATGGTGCCTTAAAACTACGGGAGGTCGCTGTTGTGGGAATGTCGGTAGATGCGCCAGTCGTCAGAGCCTTAGAGGGAGACGGGGGAGCAAGCATATTGGCACCGTTAGCTCCCGTAAGTGCTGAAGAGTTTTGAGGTGAATTGGAAGACCTCCTGTAACTGCCAACCCTTTGCAATGCATGCATCATTGATCCCAGAAGGCTCATTTGACGCTACACCAAGATAAAAAACTTTTCTTCTATTAATGTAAAATATACATGTAATAGACTTTTCTATCTTCAAAGTGGCGACTAATTCTCTCGAAGTTGGTGTGATGACCCCATTTATTTGCAATTTTTAAGCTCCAAATGTTTACATTTCACCGATTACAAAAACCATTTAACATTTAAGGTAAGTTAGAATGATGAAAAGGGCAGGAATTGGACCCACCTTACCCATTAATGACGTTCATAGCGAAGCAAAAAACCAGAAAGTTTTCGTGGACAACCAAACAAAAACGTATCAGCTCAAGTTTTTGC